TATGTTAAAATATTTGACTTGTGTTTCAGCTTCAGGGAAACCTTGCGCAGCTGTTGTGAGAGAGGAAGGCAGTAACGGAGACAGAGAGATGTCTGCTTCTCTGTTCATGGCTGGATTCGAGGTAAAGACACACCTACACAAAGAAAGATTCAAGATTTGTGTTTTTAAATATGTATGTGTTGGAGTTTGTAGTCAGTAATTTTTTATTAAAAGGATTTAGGGATGATGTTTGTTCACTAATAGCACAAATGCTGCTGGTTTGCTTTTAAACGTTTTCATTTTATCTGTTAATAAGGCTGTTGAATTAATTTTGACATTTTACCTTTTTTCTTGTATGATCTGTAGGTGTGGGATGTCACAATGCAGGACCTGTGCTCAGGCTCCATGACCCTTGACCCCTTCCGAGCCGTGGTGTTTGTGGGTGGTTTTAGCTATGCAGATGTGCTGGGGTCAGCTAAAGGTGAAAATCACACTATTGCATGTTGCAGCAATCTTACATATCACTGCTGAGCTGTATGTTAGTTTTGCTATATAATGATAACAAGCATTAACTCATCCCCACCATTGAATGTTCAAATGACCTTAGATTTGTGACTCAGGTCATAGGTTATTTAGTACTGGCCTTGCCACTCTGCCTACTGAAAATGACTGGGTCTTAGCACTTGTTCTCCAGCTGATGATCAAAAGCTTTGACTTTTTCTTATTCATCAGGGTGGGCTGCCACAGTGACCTTTAACCCCAAGGCTCGTGAGGAGTTTGAGCACTTCCGCAATCGTGATGACACGCTGAGTCTAGGAGTGTGTAACGGGTGTCAGCTCATGGCTTTGCTTGGCTGGGTGGGTGAAAGAGAAACCGGAGGTGAGAGAGAAACCTTTTAGTTTCACCATATGTAAATACCAACAACAGCCTCAATAATTTAACTTGTTCCTTTTATTTTTATAAATTAAATATTTTTTTATTCATTTTTATTGTAGGTTCTGATGTTACTCTGACCCATAATAAGTCTGGTCGGTTTGAATCAAGGTTTGTGAGTATAGGTATCCTGCCCTCTCCGGCCATCATGCTTAAGGGAATGGAGGGATCTGCTCTGGGCGTTTGGGTCGCTCATGGAGAAGGTTAGAAATATGTTCATTGTAACACTATACTTGACAAGTGCATTTACTTCTATTGCAAGTGAATTCCAAAAGTCTGAGACCACTAGAAAAATAAGAAGAAGAAAAAATATAATATATTTTAAAAAAATAGTTTTAAAAATATACTTTTTTAATAGTTTTTTTTTTTCATTATAAATTATATTAGACTTTTTAATAATTATTTTCATCATAAATACAGTGGTGGCCCAAATTATTAGAACACCTGACAGATCTGAAAATATTGGCTTTTTTTTTGCCTCCAAAACATGATTTCATTTTATAATGTTCATGAAACATGCAGATGGTTGCTCTGAGCACAACAAATATCAGATGAAGTGAGTCATACTGTTTTTATCCACTTTTAACGTTAATATTTGGTATGTCCACCTTTTGCAGCAATTACAGCAGCATATCTCTCTGGCATCGTGTTAATATATTTCCTGAAAACGTCAACACTAATGTTATCCCATGCCTTCTGCAACTCAAGCCAAAGGCTTTCCTTTGAATGTACAGTTGATCTGTTCAGTTTATTTTCCAACTCGCCTCAAATTTGCTCGATGGGGTTGAGGTCCGGACTTTGAGGGGGCCAGTCCATCATTTTCAATGTTTCCTTCCATCGCAGGTAGTTCCGGCAATAGTTAGAAGAATGTTTAGGGTCATTGTCCTCTTGGAAAAATAAATCCAGGCCCAATAAGACGACTCCCAGAAGGTACTCTGTGCCTCAGAATATTGTGGTATACTTTCTTATCCATGATGCCATCAATGTTCACTAAGTCACCTATTCCAGAGGCTGAAATGGCACCCCACACCATAATACTATCCCCTCTGTGTTTAACTGTTGGCAAGAGACACTCATTTTTATATCTCCCCCCCTCTCTCTGTCAGAACATACGCTATTCGCTTGTTGCCAAACTGTTCAAACTTTGACTCATCACTCCACAACACTTTATGCCAATCTTCCTTTGTCCATTTCTTGTGTTCTTTTGCAAATTTCAGGCATTTCACTCTATTTTTCTCTTTTTTGCTGCTATTCTGCCAACAAGTCCTTTTTCTCCCAGTTTCCGATGCACAGTTCTTGAAGACACTGTTGCACCATTAGTCATCGAGGTGTTGATCTCGTCACGCAGTCCTCATGAGGTCTTTCTTTGGTCCTTAAGACTGAGAATTTAGAGATGCTTCACTTGTCTGTCTGAAAGTTTCTTTTTCGACCTCTCCCCTTTCGGTTCTGGTGTGAATTGGTGGCATAAAGTGTACTTTACAGTGCTTGGACTGCATCTCACGTCCTTGGCTATGCGGCGGTAACTCCAGCCATCATCAAAAAGGGAGTTTTCTTCTTCACCTTAGCCATGTTCAAAGAGCAACATGCGCCACTACTTCTAGAGGCTTTGAATTTATACCAATTGTTGGTGTGGCCTCAGTGACAAAACCCTGATGTTATCAATCACTTAATGAGCAGGATAGGCTTTGTACATCCAAAAGAATCACACAGCTGTGTCCTAAGACTCTTGCATCACCATCAATTTAACCACGATCACACCTGACAATGATTACACAAGTAATTTGGCTTCTTCTGTGAAGGAACATGATTGTGTGACATTGACCTTGACATTGACATTGGTCCTCATGAAATGAAATCAAAATTGACTTTATTTACTTTGTTAGCGCATATTGCTAGTCTTGAGGAGAACAATTAATCAATGCAAGTTAATCCACTGAAAAAGTTTTTGTCTTGGTAATCTTTAAAGGGGTCATATGATGTTGCTAAAAAGAACATTATTTTGTGTATTTGGTGTAATAAAATGTGTTTATGCGGTTTAAGGTAAAAAAAAACACATTATTTTACATTATTTTACATTGTACATTTATTGTTTCTCCTCTATGCCCCGCCTTTCTGAAACGCGTCGATTTTTACCAAGCTCATCGGTCTAAAAAGCGAGGTGTGCTGTGATTGGCCAGCTATCCAGTGCGTTATGATTGGCCGAATACCTCAAGCGTGTGACTGAAATGTTACGCCCTTTACCATATTGTCAGGCCGGAGCGACGAGACAAAAACATGAAAGAATATCTCTTTGGATTTGAGACTTTAGTCTTTGCAACTTTACAGATCTTCTTTATGCACCAAGAGCTTGTAACACTCCAAAGAGAAAGGAAAAATTGAAATCGCATCATATGACCCCTTTAATCAAAATCGGAATATTTGCTTCCGCTCTGGAATGGCATTCCTTCTCTGATGACGTCAGTTTGACAGCTTGGGCGAACCATGCCCCTTCAACCGTTAGTGAGAGATGGAGAGGAGGGCTAAAATTAAACCCTGTCTTCTATTCAATATTCCGTTTCATTTGGAAATATGTCACTGCACAAATAAAGTTGGCAGCAATTTCCGGTTCACACAGACTTTAAAAACTCCTCTTTTGTTCTATAGGTCTGATGCAGTTTCGTTCTCCTGAGGCTCAGAAGAAGCTGATCGGTGCTTCTTTGGCTCCTCTGCGTTATGTGGATGATTCAGGAAACCCGACTGAAATCTATCCCATGAACCCCAATGGTTCTGCACAAGGTGTTGCAGGCATCTGCTCAGCAGATGGCCGTCACCTGGCTATGATGCCCCATCCAGAGCGGGCCGTGCTGGGCTGGCAGTGGGCTTGGGCCCCTCAGCACCTCAGGGGATCACTGGAGGCCTCACCGTGGCTTAGCATGTTCCATAATGCTGCAGTCTGGTGTCAGAGCTCATAGAGATATGCTACTGTACAGTTGTGATAGACAACTAAACAAATAGGCTAACTAGACAACTTGTTAAAGGGATAGTTCACCCAAAAAATTGTCATCATTTACTCACCCTCATGTCATTTTAAACCTGTATGCATCTTTCTTCTTCTGAACCCAAAAATACAGTATTTTGAAGAATGTTGATAGTCAAACAGTTTTGGTTCCCATTGACTTGCATTGTATTTTTTGTCAATGGGAACCAAACTTGTTTAGTTATCAACATTCTTAATATGGTTTGAAATGACATGAGGGTGAGTGAATGACAGAATGTTCATTTTTGGGTGAACTACTCCTTTAAGATTCTTGTTTAAAAATTTGACACTTTGACTTTTTGAAATCTTACATTCCTACATACAGACTTAGTTTGCATTCAAGTAGAATTAACATGTAGAGTCCTGCTGGGAACTGATGCCTCAACATATACATGTCTAAATTTATAATGGACTCTTTATTGAGCATTTTTGAGATGCAATTAAAATTTAATGGCTGATTATCACCATTTTTCATTTAAAAATCCAAAATATACATTCCAGAAATTATTAACTTTGCACTGAGAAAAGTTTTATTGATGAAAAACACATTCTAAATGTATGTGCTATTTGAATTTCATTATCACCATTTTTATTTTAAAAAAAGCAAAATATACATTGAAATTATTCAACTACAAGTTTTTATTGATGAAACACTGCAAACACACTTCAGAGCATTAAATTCAAAGCATTTAATTAACGATTATAAAATGTGTGTGTGTGTGTGTGTGTGTGTGTGTGTGTGTGTGTGTGAGGGAAAATGCACAGCTAGAATCAAGTATTCAGACACCATAAAAAAACAAATAAATTTATATATATATATAAATATTTATTATAAACTTGCATATTTACAAAACCACTTTACATTTATTATATACAATGTCTTTAATAAAACACCTTAAATTGCTGTTTTTAAAACATCAGAACTCCACTCATCTCATTTAGTGCTGTATGTCTATTCTAGACACATCATCATTGAAAATCCATGTTCAATAAGATCAAAGTGCAGCAGGCCATAACACTGTTAACCTTTGCCAACAAGGTTGATTAGTGTAATTTCAACATGCTAGTAAGCACATCATCACTGTCCTCTACAACGTGTCGGTCAGCACACCCTGCATGACCGAGTGTGTTCTTGTCCTCTGCGGCCCCATCTGTTGGTTGATGTTAATAAGGCAGATGAGAAGAAGGAAGACCACTACAAAATCATCCAGCGTGCCCAGCACACTGCTCAGCGGCCCAGGAAGAGTCTCCAGTGGGGAGGCCAAAGACATGGCAGCGCCAAATCCACAGACAGCCACCCTCAAGAGAAACAGCCACACCAGGCCGCCCATGTTCCCCAGCCATCGCACCAGAAAGAGCAGGAAGAGGGGTGTATCGCACAGGTAATCCTTTACCTAAAAAAGGAAAAGATGATAATCATACTGTAGCATATGAACTAGCACGTGGGATATCAGTGTGTGCTGCGTATCTGAACAATAAAAACATGTCTGTGGGTGTCTTCCAACTGTAGGAAACTATGTCCTTCCTGGCCGGAGGTTTCACAACCTTTGTGGCATCAGGAACTAAAATAGGTGTGGTGATGTGATATAGTCCAGAGCAAATAAAATGATAAACACTGTTGAGAAGTAATAATGGTAATTGTACAAATTTACTGGGAGCGCCACGAGTTTGTCAACACAAAGGATGGTTATATAATGTAGTTTTTCAAGTCAGCCGTCACCTGTCTTTGAGAGCATTACAGTAGCTACAATCGCATTGTTTGCCAGTCTGACTACCCAAAAAACAAACTGATATGATTACAGTCTGACATGGCATTTAAAAAAAAGACACATTATTGCTTTAGACCAACTTTAAGCAAATGTTTGTACCTGTCTTGGTGCTCCAGAGTAACGCTTGTTATAGTCTCTGACATGTTTGAGCACTTCTGTCTCTTTACAGTCAGTTCTGGTCTCTCTGAAGAGATGGCACATCTTATTCACCTGAGAATAAAGAAAGAATAAAAGACAAATGAGAGCTTTACCTTTTCTGTATATATATATATATATATATATATACACAGTAAAAACAGTAATTGTGAAATATTAATACAATTTAAAATAGCTGTTTTCTATTTTAATATCCTTTAAACTGTAATTTACTCCTGTGATGGCAAAGCTACATTCAGCAGCCATTACTCCATTCTTTAGTCATCATCAAATCAAATCATTCTAATATGCTTGTAATCTAATATTTGGTTCCTTAAGAAACATTCATTATTATTGTCAATGTTGAAAACAGTTGTGCAGCTTAATAATTTTGCAGAAAATTGTCATTCACTACCATTTAAACGTTTAGGGTACGTAAGATTTAAGAGAAAGAAAGCATGAGAAAAGTTTTATTCAGAACTAAAATATCAAATAAAACAAAATAAAAATGTTTATTTATTTTTCTTTAAGAAGCATGTATCAGCTAAGAAATCTCTTACCGTCTGTCTGCACAAAGGACAGCTGATGGCATCTAACCAGGAGCAATGTTTCCAGTAAGATATCAGACATGGTGCTAGAGAGGGAAAGACAGAAGACAGATAAGCGTGGGCCTCTCCTTTACCATGTGCCAGAAATGTGTTATTATTTTTAATAGGTCATTCTAAACAATTTTTATCGGATAGATCAAAATAAATGTGCTTTTCCACTGAAATGCATTGGCTTCAGTGATTCAGAAATGTCATTTGGATTCCACCATTCACATCATGTTAAAACCACACAAAAATATGGTTTGTTGCTATTTATGTTTTGATTCAGGTAAATCTGGCACATCACATTCAATTAATTTTTTTCTCAACAGCAAGTATTTAACAAAGTAGCTGGTCGGTTTCACTACTTTTTATATATTTAGTAGAGCTGATGTGACTAGAAGGAATAATAATAATAAATATTGAATGGGTAATCAAACCTGAAAGAGACATGCAGCACATATCATTATTTTTGTCTAATTTTTGTTGCTTGTATTATCTTTGCTGCTCTTTATTTCAGTCTCTTTAATGTGCTGATTTAAAGTGCCTGTGGTGCAAGAATTTGTATAAATTTTTTTTCGAATTTTGTATTAACCTTGTAGTTTACTATTGATATAAATCTACAAATATTCCCTCTCTGAGTGTGTATTCACGTGATCTGGGTCAGGTGAGAGACTCTGCTATCGTAACTATGGCAACAGTATAATATTTAACTCCATATACAACACTGTAGAGTCACATGACTGGGTAAGTGTTCAGTGCTTGGAGTGTAAATGGCCACCACCATCTGCTCTCTCACAGTACGCCAGTTACATTAGTCTAAAGCACCTTCAGCTAAAGTAAACCAGCATGATGATTGTAAATAACATTGTAAAACACTGACATGAGATACTGTTTATGCAAATACTTTTCTTTTCTTTTTTTTGCAGTGATGCGTGTTTTAAGTTGGTTGATACACACCACAGAATAGATGCCCGCAGTTGGTCTCTACGGGATAGCTGGCGATCTGTAAACAGACGGGGCAGTGATTGTCCCTGTTGCCTGCTGGCAACCACATTTTACGTAAATCCTGCAAGCATAAAATTAAGATTATTAATCTGGATTAATATTCACTTTTCCAAGTTCTCAGAGTAACACTATTTTTTTTTAAAAAAGCAATAAATGAAATTTTATACAATATATTTTATACAAATATTGCTCTGTTGCATGTGTCATTTATTTCTAGGATAATGTTTGATTTTGTAGTATTGCAGTATTTTACTGAAATAGACATTTCTAATTGAAAATGCTGCATTTAATTATAAATAATGAAATAAAAATACACAATATAAGAATTTTTCTAGTAGTCCTCAGACTTTTGGAGGCCAGTGCATGATGTGAGTGTGGGAATGTGTGTATTCACCTCTCTTTTGTTCACGTGAGGATTGTGTGGCTGGCCTTGACTCCTTATCTTTGAGAGAAGAGAGGACCTTCAAAAGTGAGAGATGCAGTTATTAAAATGCAATACTGTGGATTTTATGTTCAGCCATTCTGTTGAACTGAGAGACTTCAAATCACAATGCAGGACTAGAGTTTATAAGGTCATCATCATTATATGTGCAAGGTGAGTTAAAACATCATCATTACAGCTTACAGATTTTCTTTTGAAATTCTGAGTAAGCTGTATTGAAAAGTACCTAAAATAAAAATATTTATTCATCTCAACCCGCTTTTCTTTTTTTTTTTTTTTTACAAAATGTATTACACTTTTTATCAATGAGTAGTCTGGAAGAGCACGTATGAAATCTAAATTTAGCTGTCTGACACACCTGTGTGTTTTACTCGTGCCAGATAAGGCAACATCAGACAGCCTTAAAGGGGTCATATGATGCGATTTCAATTTTTCCTTTCTCTTTGGAGTGTTACAAGCTCTTGGTGCATAAAGAAGATCTGTAAAGTTGCAAAGACTAAAGTCTCAAATCCAAAGAGATATTCTTTATAAAAGTTAAGAGTCAACCACGCCTCCTTAAAATGGCTTATTCTAACACCCCCCCACATGTCTACGTCACGATGTGGTAAGATTTGCATAACGCCGCCCAAATGTTCACGCAAAGAAAGAAGGCGTAACTTTTATTCTCGCTGTAGTATTGTTGCTGCCGCCATGTCGTGAAGACACTGTGTTTCGTTGTGAAAGCGAAACTACTTTTACTTGCCAATCACAGCACACCTCGCTTTTCAGACCGATGAGCTTTGTAAAAATCGACGCATTTCAGAAAGACGGGGCATAGAGGAGAAACAATAATGTACAGTATGTGGAAAATAATGTGTGTTTTTTTTATCTTAAACCGCATAAACACATTTCATTACACCAAATACACGAAATAATGTTCTTTTTAGCAACATCATATGACCCCTTTAAAGTACATCAGCCTTTGAAATATGTCAGTACTACTGAACTAACATTTGCCTTTGATATGAAAATAACTATATTTGCATCTTATTATAGCTTGATATCCTGCAGTTATGTTATCTTATACAGCATCCTATGTCTTTAAAACAACACAACATTGTGAAAATGATCCTATGTGAAAGTATTTGAGAATTGGAAGACTCTGAGTTCAGTTTAGAACTGAATAAAGTTAGACTGACATGACTGAACTGTCTGATGTCATAATATTTAGTTCCTGTGTGGTGCCTTTTATTGCCCCACAATACCATAACACAGTTAACCTGCAGTCTCAGGACACAACACTTCATCATATTACATGTATAGCTATATATAAATATTTCATTATTTATAAAATGAATAATGCTGCATATCATTCAAATTTTTAAATATAGCCTTATATCAGACAAAATCCTCCAATGGCAGCATTTAAACATTACATAGCAGACAGTTTCAGATTGGATTACTGGGCACAAAAATGTGCATGAAATATAATTAATACAAATCTAACCCAAAGAGTTTGTCTCTCTCACCTGTTGTGGAAGCTGTCGGTGGTGGGCATGTTTCTTGTTCGTAATTCAGTTGCTTTCTCTTGTGGAAGGCAGAGACTGGAATGCTTTCTCACTGCTGCATTGTACGCAGTAAATTTGACAGACGGGTTAATCATTGACCAGGGCATCAGTCCCCTTTTTTTTGGAGATTAGGTAACCACAATGATTCCCTGTTGGATTTTCGAAATTCAGGAAACTTGCTTGCAACCTTACGGGCCTCTACAATATGTTAATGCATGTGAAAATCTGTTTATTGACTGTATTTGCACTGATTTCTCGGTCTCCAGTGTTGTATTTTTGTCATGTGACCACTATCACAGGTTCAAAGACACAGGTTGTAAGTCTCCTCCTATTTTAAGTAGGTTAGGTGTCTGGTTAACCTGTCAATGGTTTACTGTACATTTACACAATCTACGCTGTCCCATATGGATGACCAAAGAAAGGCATTTCACTGGGATGCCTGGAACAATCATGCAGGCAATCCAGCAGGTTAAAACAATCTACACCTGCTTTAATACTACACTAATACTATAGGCTTATTATATTACACATCGACCCTCAAATAGAGTGTATCATGTGTGGGTTATTTATAAGTTTCTTATATCTATCAACATTCTTTATTGATGAGACAGCTTTTGTAACTTAGTTACCCCACTTCCAAATTGGCTCCATATCAGTGCATTTGCCCTGGAGCTTTATGCTAAAAATTTCTCAAGCTAATATTTACCTTTCTCATTTTTGCCTAAACCGCAAGGTCGTTGTGGCTGAAAATAGCAGCTGTTGATCCACAAGGGCCTTGATGGCATAGGGCTGGGTTAAAGACCCATGGCCCAAATGAGAATCTGGAGGCTGTCATGGTTTAAAGTCCAGTGTCATGTCAGTCAAGGAATACTGCCACCAGTTACGCTGTCCCATGTGGTTAACAGGTTGAAGACGAAATTTAATGTTATCATATGTGGCTTTATGGTGAAATTATAAATGGAGTGAATAAATTAAATAATTTATCTAAACTTTAAAGGTATGCAGTTTATCTATTTTTATTTATTTTTATTTCTAATTCTATTGATTATTATCTATTTATATATTATGCAATTGTTTGCAATAAAGGCACTAATGTGTCTCTTATTTTGTATATGAAGTATTCCCACATGTGCTCATCCCAGGTAAACGCATGTGACTTCACATCACAATCTTATCTTATGTTTTTATTACAAAAAGGTAATAAAAAGATTGAGAGACGTTAATGTTTAATGTTTAACAACAGAAAACACAAATCAGTGTAAATCTAAAGTATGTACATCATTATTTAAACTCAATGTTAAAAATTTTCTCAATTTGTTTTTTTTTTAATAAGTTAATTTGAAGGTTTAGTCACCTTTATTCTGTACCATTAGTGTAGCTTAACTCATATTTGTATAAGTGGCAGTGGCAATAAAATAAATAAATGGCTACTTAAAAAAACCTGTCTTTGGGAACTGTTGATCATAAAGCATCTGTGCATAAAAGTGAATGTCCCTATGGGATGACAAGTAAAAATAACTACATTAAAACAAATAAAAAATTGTCAGATTTACCCAATAAGTATTGAAAAATGATAATGATTTACATGATTTGGAACATGATTTAATGGTTTCTGGTCATAGCTGGTATAATAAGATAATCATTAGGCTACCTGGTCAAAGATGATCATTATGGCGATAGCTGATCATTTTTTGGATGACCAACTAGCCTACTAGGCTACATTTCAGATTGACCACCTTTTGTTTGTTGCTGGTCCAAGATGGTACCAGCTGATCATCTTAAATTTGCATTTTAAATATGTCTTTATAGGCTTAATATTTTTAAGGCTAAATATTTTTTAAAGCGTGCTTATTTGGATGAATCTGGGTATTTTGATGATACATTTTTGTAACACATTGTAGGCTATTTTATTTTCACTTTTTAGGTGCCCATAGCCTATTCAGTTTCCATAGTGTGGAAACCAAACGCTTTATTCCACATGATCCGTGTTCTCTGCTCTGCCAGTCTCTTCGGATCTCTGTTTTGATTGGCTACACGGTGTCCTGAACTCAATACACCATTGGTGTTTTATTTCTTGCTGTTGCGCTCTTGATCTCGTCAATCCCCCAATCCTTATTAACGCAGCACGCGATGTGTCCGCGGCGGACATTCACGAAGCCTTTACGTATCAATTAGTGCGTAAACGCAATAGACGTGAACGTAGTGCTGGTGAGCGCTAGGCAAATACAGGTGGACGGAAATATTTGCCTGATAGCACAGAGGAGATATGGATTTCAATAAAACGGTGCTGTGCGAGAGCCTGATTATTTGGGTAAGATCCTATCTTTTAGTTTAGCTCTAAAGGTCACTGGAATCAGGAATCGTTTATTTATCTGCGGTCAGATCCTTGACGATAGCGTTACCTGTCGCAGGTAGTCGTTTCCTTCGGGACCATGGTCAAAAAATACCGGAAATAAGACATTTAGATGTGTGCACTTGCTCATGTAAACCAAACGGGGTCTGCGGTGCATCATTGCAACCTTTAAAAATGCGCTAATTTCTCCAAGCGGCACCCGTCCAACACGCGACACCAATATATACAAAAATCTTAAAGACAAACCAGCCTCAGAATGCTGTTAGACATGTAAACAACACCCAACAGTCACAGCCAACTCCATCCTCATCCGATTTAGACGTCTAATCTGGTTAGCTAGAGTATTTGTGGAATGTGTCTTATGCAATCAGATATTCCGTCTCCGTTTAATATGATGGCGTTTTGATTTTTGACTGCGGTGTGTGATCGCATGCGGCGCGTGCTCGCGATTCTCTGTGGCTCTGATCCATGACTGTGTTTACACCAAGGCCCCTTCTGGATAGTTTTCAGAAAGACTTGTAAGATGCAACAGAAATGTGTATATATATATGTATGTCACTGGAGTTTATAAAAATTTTTTATTGCAGTGTAAAAGCTCTTTAGTAAATATATCCCTTAACAACATTATGGAGCATTTTGTTAATGTTAATTGTATTTTTCTTTAGTGAGAGTGCTATATGCTATGTCAAAGCAGATTGGATGACAAAACTTAAATGTCTCAGAATGCTGTTAGACATGTAAACAACACCCAACAGTCACAGCCAACTCCATCCTCATCCGATTTAGACGTCTAATCTGGTTAGCTAGAGTATTTGTGGAATGTGTCTTATGCAATCAGATATTCCGTCTCCGTTTAATATGATGGCGTTTTGATTTTTGACTGCGGTGTGTGATCGCATGCGGCGCGTGCTCGCGATTCTCTGTGGCTCTGATCCATGACTGTGTTTACACCAAGGCCCCTTCTGGATAGTTTTCAGAAAGACTTGTAAGATGCAACAGAAATGTGTATATATATATATGTATGTCACTGGAGTTTATAAAAAATTTTTATTGCAGTGTAAAAGCTCTTTAGTAAATATATCCCTTAACAACATTATGGAGCATTTTGTTAATGTTAATTGTATTTTTCTTTAGTGAGAGTGCTATATGCTATGTCAAAGCAGATTGGATGACAAAACTTAAATGTACAAAACCTCCAGGATTTTCTATTAAATATACTATCATGCTGTCAGTGGTGATTTTGCCTTTTATTGTAGTAATGCAGGGTTTCCCAAATGACAAGTTGATAAGAAACTAATAATTAAATTAAATGTAAAATTAACCTTTGTGCTTTTTCCAAATTTGGTGTTTACGGTCAAAAATGACCGGCCCTAAAAACTTACCTGGATTTAATGTTTTTGTCACTTTGTTTTCTTTCAGTTAGCACATTGTTTTTCTCCTCTACTACTACTACTACTTTTTTTTTCCAAAAAGTGCAAAAATGGTCAATCAATCAATCAGTAAATCAATGAATCAATATTTAGGATGTTGTTATAGCCTGTGGGTGCAAAGTTGGTAAGTTAGACTAATTCGAACATTAACTAGCATTTTCAGGGAAAAGAAAATCCTCTCTGTGTCAGAATGACTACACAACAAAAAAACGTTTTGAAAACGTTTTTTAACAATTACAGGTAATAATATTAATGTGTAATTTAATTTTTTAATATATTAACAATATCTCAAGTAACCTAAATATTTTACATATAAGGTGGTTCAGCGGACAAAAAAAGTTTGGGAACCCTGTTGTCATGCATATTCTTTGTAGTTTGTCCAGTGGTGTAATGTAACGAAGTAATAATACTTCGTTACAGTAGGCTACTTAAGTATTTTTTGGGAGTATCTGTACTTTACTTGAGTTTTTATATTTCAGCCAACTTTTACTTTTACTCCACTGGGTTTTACAAATATTTATCCAATGAAAAGCATTTAAAGAGCTTGTCACTAAAGCTCGTAACGCCATTCTCAAACTGTCAGCGAAACCCATAGACTGTATAAAAACATGGACGGAGTGTCTGTGCCGTCACCCGTAGGTTTCTGAAGAGCGGTTTTAAAGCTCAGTGTGGGCGGAGGCAGCTGTCGCCATCTTGGCAGCGGTCACCGCGTCACTCCCGGATAATCGAAAATGGGCAAAGAGGCGGGAGCTAGTTGCTGAAACCACGCCCACCTAGCTCGACGCAGGTGACAGCAGCGGCAATCCACTTGTCACTCAAGTGGCCACGCCTTTAATTATGCAGAACTTTAAAGCTTACTATAATTTAAACGGATGAGTTATAAAAAAATTCACCCCCCTCACAGTTGTCATGAAGGGCAAAATTAGCTATATAGACCAAAATAGTTTTTTGTACCAGGCTTCACGAGAGAGACCGGAAGGTTGCCGCTTGGGTGCAAACAAGTGCGCGCACAACCGCAGATGATTTCATTTTCCACTCAAGTCGAGGCTGGGGTGTGCGATATACAGTATATCTTCTGCGATAATATGGTAAGTGTTGTTGTAATGATAGCTGTGTCTCATTTAGAAGGCTGCGCCCTCCGGAGGTCG